TAGATGCTTTTAAAATGGCTTGGGCTGTCTGTTCATCTGTTTTGATTATGGCAGTTTCTGTAGAATTTGATGTAACACAAATAATAGAAACCTAGAGACTGAGCCAGGCGTTGGTGCTTGCCTTTAATCTCAGTACTCAGGAGGCAGAGGAAGGCGGGTCTCTCTGAGTTCGAGACCAGCCTGTTCTACAGAGTGAGGCCCAGGACAGCCTCCAAAGCCACAGAGAAACCCTGACTCGGACCACCCACCCACCCCCGCAAAAACAAAACAAAACAAAAACAAAAACAAACCCAGAGACAGACATTGGGGTTCTAGCTGAAGATCAAAGAAGCAAAGCATCCAAGCTACCAGAGAGCTCTTACCTCTACCAGGGCTGGGGCAATCCTGACCTCGACATGGCTGGAGACTAATTGCCTAAGATTGAATACTGAATGTCCTGCTCCTGTCTTATATACCTCTCTAATGCTGGGAGGTTAAAGTTGTGAGCTCTGTTTCTGTTTTAGACTGATTCACTCTCATATAACCCTGGGTGGCCTTGAACTCACAGGGGAACATCTGCCTCTGTCTCCTGAGTCCTGGGATTAAAAAGGTATGCACCACCATTGCTTCTATGGCTATGGCTAGCTTTGTATTGTGATCCTTCAGGCAAGCTTTATTAAATCACAAATAATATATCACTACAATTTGAAATTAATAGTAGGGATGCTTAAATGCTCATTTCAAACTGCTAATAAAGTTATCATTGAAGCCCTTTACAAAAGAAGAATAGAGTGGTAGCAAAATAGAAGTTATTGAAAAAGAAAATCAGCTAATACCATATGTATTTCTAGTTCTGTACTAAGCTAAATAACTCATTCTTCTTTTATAAAACAGTTTATAGTACTAGGTACATATGAATAGATATAATCTACAATGTAGGACCTGTCGATATAGCTCTGTTGCAGAGTCTGTGCTTAACATGCAGGATGCTCTGGATTCAGTCCTTTGCATTAGGGTAACCACTGTGTATGTGTATGTCTGTTACGAATGAATACACTGGCCAGGTGGTGGTGGTACAAGGCTTTTAATCCTGGCACTGGGGAGGAAGGCAGGTAGCTATAAGTCTTGAAAAACAAACAAAAAGGGAATAAGCACATTATTAGTGTTTTTATTAAGAGGATGTTTCTTTTGCTGTGGGTTGTAGCTCAGGGATAGAACACTTGACCAGTATATATGAGGTCCTAGATTAAACCCCTGGTCAAGGCACTTTTTTTTTGGGGGGGGAGTTCTGGAAGTTTATAAAATTTATACAAAATTACAGATCTTCATTTTGGAAAAAATCCAACCTTTAAAAATTAAATATTCGGGCTGGAGAGATGGCTCAGAGGTTAAGAGCACTGACTGCTCTTCCAGAGGTCCTGAGTTCAATTCCCAGCAACCACATGGTGGCTCACAACCATCCGTTATGAGATCTGGTGCCCTCTTCTGGTGTGCAGACATACATGGATGCAGAATGTTGTATACATAATAAATAAATAAAATCGTTTTAAAAAGTTGAAATCTTTAGCATTAAAATATTCTATAGGGAAAATATAGTTTCCATGAAATTCATTAGAATATTGGTAGCAATTTTTAAATGAAAATACATAATTATCTCAAAATGCAGCTATCTTTAATAGTAGAAGGTTTGAAAAGCACTTGTAAAATTCTCAAGAACTATTATTTTGAAAGTTTCATACTGAGACAAAGGCTGACAAAGATGACTAAGAGTCTATGATTTTATAAGTAGTTTAGTAAACAGAAATATATTGAGCATGTGCTATGTACCAAATTTTCTATAGGAATCCGAATTATCCAGATTGCAAGCCAAAATTTCTGGACATGAAAAGACAGAAGACCTCAAGATCCCACCAGCTTCATTTAGGACTCTAACAGAAATTATGCCTGATATTCAAGATCCAAAGTTTGCTAAACATTCTCAGATGTCATTTTTCAAAGGCAGAAAACTACGTCGTTCTATTAGTGCCAGTGACCTTAGTTTCAAAAGTCATGTCAATGAAGATCTCTCTGAAGAATTGCTACAGGACTTAAAGAAAATGCAATTAGAACAGCTTTCGGCATTAGAAGGTGGCCATAAAGACCTAGCTCTCAAGCATTCAGATTCACTTAAACCTCTTCCATATAACCTAGAAGATGATAGTTCTGAAAGTAATGACTTTAGTACTCTTAGTGGAATGCTGAGATATATAAACAAAGAAGTGAGACTGTTAAAAAAGTCTTCTCTGCAAACTGCTGGTTTAACTCAGGTATGTATTTCACACATTACCAGATAAAGTAATTTATATCAGGTATGTTGTTGCATACTTAGGAGACAGAAGCAGGAGTATTTCGGGTTCAAGTTCCTCGCCAAAAAAAAAAGGTAGTGTTTTTTTTAATTCAGTGGCTATTATTTTATTACTTGAGGAAAAAATCCATGTAGATTGACCTTCCCTTATCCAAAATGAGTTTCTGAAAATGGGGTTTAAATGGGTATCATCAGCACATAGATAATACTTAAAGCCATAACACTGGGTTAACCCTGCGGAGTAAATTGAGATAGAAACAGTTATTTCCGAAGTGTTTTTGCTCTAAGTGTTCAATGGGAAATGTAATTCAGTTAGCAGGATAACTGCCTAGTATGCCTGAAGTCCTGGGTTCACTCTCCCACACTGCATATACTGGGCAGTCACCTTCATAGGATTGTTATATAGTATTATATAATGATATTACTCTGATGTCTGTCTTCTTCTCCTGGATGGAGGCAGGACTGTTATTTGGGCCTTGCCAGTCTCTGGGTGTGCTAGAGCCCACTGGCCAAGTTTGGATCCTGTGAGCAGTCCCCCCAGTGCCAGGTGTCCACGAACAGGTCCTGGGAACCAAAACTGGATAATTATTATTATTATACTATTATTATTATTATTTTATTATTTTATTATTATCATCATCATTATTATTGTTATAGGATTATTCCTAGCACTTGGGAGATGTTAGGATCAGAAGTTCCGACTGTAACCTCCGCGGCAGGTGTGGCCCCTGGTCTGCGTAGCCGCAAACCGCATCCGCGCGCTCGTCCCTTCCCTTCCGGAGGGAAACCCAGGCTTTTGGCCACCCGGGCCGCAGAACAATGCTAGATTACTGAGTAAGGTCCAGGCCATCCTGAGCTGCATGAGATATTGTCTTAAAAACAAACGAAAAACCAAACCACCATCCAACCAACCAACAACAACTTAGGAGGTAAAGCAAGGTGTATCTCAGAGTTTCAGGCCAGCCAGTACTATATACGGAGACCCATCTGAGGGAGGGAAGAAAGGTAGGTAAGGTAGGTGTGTGTGTGTAGCGGGGGGAATTGAGATTGAAGGTTCAATACAGTTAACTAAAAAACAAACCTTTTATGGAATAGAATAAAAAAGTATGCATGCATAATAGTTGGCAAGCCATGCTGAAAACAATCACGTTACAAGGAGGTGAGTTGCACCTGTGTTGCTAAAGCAAAGGTCGATTCTGACTGCTGGGCGTGCGTGCGTGCGTGCGTGCGTGCGTGCGTGCGTGCGTGCGTGCGTGCGTGCGTGCGTGCGTGCGTGCGTGCGTGCGTGCGTGCGTGCGTGCGTGCGTGCGTGCGTGCGTGCGTGCGTGCGTGCGTGCGTGCGTGCGTGCGTGCGTGCGTGCGTGCGTGCGTGCGTGCGTGCGTGCGTGCGTGCGTGTGTTAATGTGGAGGCAGTTGATGCCTCTTGTGAGAAGGACTTCTGAGTAAAAGCAGGTATGAAAGCTTTATCACAGTAGGAGTCCCGAGAAGAAAACTTTCTTGATGAATAGTAAAGATGACACGTGAAAGCTTAGTATGAAAAGGACAGTCTTTTTGTTTTGTTTTTAAGAGATAAAACATTATTTTGTTTATATCTTCGTCAACACTATGTTATGGTTCCTCATCCCTTACATCCATATCAACATTTGTTGTCATTTGATTTGACAGCCATTCTGACTGGGGTGATGTAGAAACTTAGATGTTTCTAGATGTTTACAGGATATTAAATCTCCAATTTTTAATGTCTGAGTACCTTAATGTCATATAAGCTCCTGGCTTTATATTGTTCTTCTGAAGACCAACTCAAGACCGGTGTTTTCTAATATGTCTTCTTGGCCCTGACCTCATCCATGAATTTTAATGTCTTTTTGTTTTGTTTTGTTTTTGGTGGTCTGTGAATCTCTTGTCTATATTTGTTCAGCTAGGTCTACCCTATGGCCCAGCAACAGGGCTCCCATGTGTACTCCCAAAGGATTATGTAACTACTACAGAGACAGGAATCCCACAGGAATTGCAGGGTATGAAATAACATAAACATGGGAGTATAAAGTACATAAAGACAGAGTAGAAGTGACTTCAGAAATAGACTATCTTCCCCTCTAATATGCCTCTCAGAGATATTGGTCTATATAGCTCATGGTCTCTGAATTAGTGTCTTTAGTAGTGTATGTTACATGTCCTGCTCTCTTAACAGTGTATGTTGAAGTTGCTTTACTCAGGTATGTGCATGAATAAACTCACTAGAGTGATAGCCATATGTGCAATATCACTAAACAATACCTGCTATATGTATACATTTTTGGAGATTGTATGATTGAACCATATAATCAGAGTCAGATACAAGTGATTCATGATAGTAATATTTGTATGATGTAGTATTAAACACAATGTTATGAGATTTTTTTATATGTATTACTTTAATAAATTATGAATCTCAAAAAAAACATTTTGTGACTTGATAGAAATAATTCAGTAGACAAGGAAACTGGTAATTTAGCTCAGAAAGCAGGAGAAATATCTTTCTGGTAGACTTGAGATTATAGAGTAGTAGAGGATTTGGTGTTGTGTAGAAGGCAAGATGACACAATGAGAAGGAAGACAGGCCATGTGGACACAAAAGCAAACAAGTGGGGCAGAAGGTTGTCGGTGGGAGAGAAATTTCTTTATTGATATCTCTTTGTCAAGTTTATTATCTAAGTCAAGGTAAGGTAATGGAAGTTTGGTGTTTTTCTTGTTTTTGACTGTCTCACTAGGCAGCCCTGGTTGGCCTCCAACTCACACAGATCCACCTACTTTTGCCTCTTAAATGCTGAGATTAAAGGCATGCACCATCACACCAAAGGTGTTGGAGGTTTAAGAACAGAAAAACCAGCATGCCTTTAATCCCAGCAAGAAGGTAGAGGCAGGTGGATCTCTGTGAGTTTCAGGACAGTCAGGGCTACAAAGAGAAATCCTGTCTCAAAAAAAACTATATGAAGTAGTTAACTTTGAGGGTGGAAAAGTATAAATACACCATGATACCTGGAAGTTTAGTAGGCTTACTAGCCAGATAACCGTAAGATCAACTGGTATCCTTTACCCCTATTGTGTGTCAGAAGCAGAAGATCCTTTTTTTTTTTTTTTCTTTTTCATAAGGACAACCAGAAAGTACTCTTAAAAGTGTTCTCAGAGGGACACTCCTGCCCCTTTTTAGAACATCATCTCTATTCTAATGATAATTAGTGCTATAGATACATATGACTGGTTTTGGTAAAAATAGAACCTATTTTATACAGGATAAATTTGACCAAGTGACAAATTTGTGGTCATAACATATAGCATTTACTATATTCAAGGTACTATTCTAAATTCTTTATATAAACTCAATCCCTTTAACAACTCTGTGATACATACTATTATATTAGTATTAGTCGCTAATAGTGCTTAGTATTTCTTCATTGTAGTGATATTTTCCCCATTATATCAATGAAAAATCTGAATCCCTGTTCTTAACCACTATGCTGTATCGTAAACATTAATAGTGGATAGTAATCATATTCTTTTGGCCTTGGAACTACTTAGTTAAGGATTAAGAGAGTAGAACTTAAGCTGGGTTGCTGACAAAAAACTTTAATTCCAGCATTGGGAAGGCAGAGGCTGGTGGATTTCTCTGAGTTAAAGCTAGCCTGGGCTATATAGTAAGACCATGGAAAAAGAGATAGAGATGGAGGGAAGGGAGGAGAGACATTGGAAATACTCTACAACTAGTAAAATTATTTCCTATTCTGTACGCCACTGGACTGTATACATTACATACACCTTTAAGTCATTTTACCTATTCAATTGTCATGGAAGTTCAGTGCCAAATTAAAATGTTCAAAATACTATAGTCAGTTCTTAAATGTAATATTGGATTCTTAAAACCAAATATTAAGTTCTGTAGTCAAATGTTTGTTGTGAATGATAGTCTACTAAGTTTTAAATGTGTTAACCACAGTACTTATAACTTTAAATTCATGTAGTTCAAGAGGCATGATTGCATTGACTGTGTTGGTTTAATGAATTTTCTTTAATTCATCATGCATATTGTGCCTTAATCTTAAGAGTACCTGAAGACATTTTCTCAGTACTGTTTTCATAAGGGCCTGTATTTTTTTCTTATCTAAATCACCGTTATCTCACATTTATTTATTTATTTATTTATTTATTTATTTATTTATTTAGGTTTTTCAAGACAGGGTTTCTTTGTGGCTTTGGAGGCTGACCTGGAACTAGCTCTTGTAGACCAGGCTGGGCTCAGACTCACAGAGATCTGCCTGCTTCTGCCTCCTGTGTACTGGGATTAAAGGTGTGCACTACTACCGCCTCTCTATTAAATAGAAAGAAAATTAATAGCTAAGATTGCTAATTGTGTGAAATTTTGACTTGCTAATCGTTTTTGCTGTTTATTAATTTAGTCATTTATATGTATGTTGAATTAATAAATGCATACTGATTTGTGAAATTTGACATAAGAAAAATTTTAAATTAGGATTCAGAGCCCTGAACTACAGGCTAGTTATTGTTTATTTTGCATACTATTAAGTATGGATTACACTAATTTTACACTAAAAGCAGGATTTTAAAATTCTTTTATCACAGGGAAACAGAGTTGTCATAACAAAACCTAGTATGTCAAACCAGTAGAAAAATAATTTATTCAGTTAGAGATAGATTCTATTTCATGGATGACTATTCACAGACTCTAGGACAGCATTGTATTCAGACTGAAGAAATTAAGTAGACATTTATGGCACCAAAAACCCAAAGGCTGGCTTCGAACAGAGATCCACTTGCTTCTGTCTCCCAGTGCTGGGATTAAAGGTGTGTGCCACCACACCCAGATGATAACTTATTTTTAATTAATTTATTTGTTTGAACCCAGTGCCCTGTGTGTGCTAAGCAAGTACATTGAGTTACATTCTCCTCTTGTAATATCTGAGTGATGTAAAGGACTTATTTTTAGGTTTTTTTTTTTTGAGTTACAAACATGATTGAATTACATGACAATTCCAGTTCCCTTCTCCCTCCCCTCCTCCCCTACCACCACCCCCAACTAAAACCCTATCACTTCCTTTCTTCTAATCTATACCTGACTCAACCGTTCTGCTCTCTCATGACCTCTGCATCCTTCTTCTTCCCTTCCCATTCTCCTAGCTCCCTCCGCCCTCTTCCCATGTTCTCAATTTGCTCAGGGGATTGTGACCCTTTCCCC